TCTCTCTCTCTCTCTCTCTCTCTCTCTCTCTCTCTCTCTCTCTCTCTCTCTCTCTGATATCTTTATTACATTGAATTTGTGGCATAATCTATATCTCTCAAAATTCTGTGGTAAAGACTATAGCTACCTAACTAGAGAGATGTACTATATAGAGTCATAAAGGCATCGTTTTATTCCATCTTGAAGAGTTTAATTGTGACATTTAGTTTGGGGTGTTGGTGGTGGTTTTTTTTTTTTAGGATGACTGCCTTACTTCATTAACAAGATTCGCAGCAGCACACTGGACAGTTTCATCTCTTTCGGCAGTACAGGGTCACTTTTGTAGGCTCTTTGCATGTAAGTTCAATACATTATACTAATTATTTTTGCATAATAAGTACAGCCACTGGGAAAGCTGACAAATTAGCTTACAGCGAGCAATATGATTATCTGAAAAACTATATAAGAAAATAAAACTCTGAAGAAACTTTAAAAGCTGTGAAACTTGCAGATACCCTTTTTTATCTAAAATTTACGGGATTTAACATTAATTTTATAAGAACATTTATTTCTGGCATACTTATTGTTACCATGAATGCAAGAATCAAGTTTCAAAAATACACTTTAGGAAAATAAATTTACAGAATCCCTATTGTGGAATGGACTGATGGCGGTTTTTCTTTGTGACCCAGATTTTTTTTGTTAACGATTATTAACAATATTTTAAGTAATTTGGATCAATAATGTTGAGATTTCTTAGTCTTAGAACTCAGGGGTGTTTTAGTTTGAGTAGCTGGAAAGTATAGCTTATGATACTGACTGAAAATTTTTTTAATAATGTAATTACATTGTGTTAACTTGAAAACTATTTGAATGAAAAGTTTGTAGAAATAGATGAGCAGTCTTAGACATCCCAACACTTGAGATCTAAGTCATCTGAAATAGAATATAATAAATACAGATATATTGGCCTAATTATTAGAGATTGTGTTGCTCAGCACCTTTGACAATCCGGCCAATATCTATCCCTTTATATAAATACATGTATGCTATAACCAATATATTTCTTGATGAAAAGAAGAACACTGTCAAGAATTAAGTAATGTGCATGTCAGTAAAACCCCAACTTAAAATTTAAAGCTCTATTAGTTTAACTTGAAGAAAAAAGTGAGTTATTAAATCCTTGTAAGTTGAGATAGATAGTAATAATCAGTAATGCAACAATTGCTTTAACACAAGGTCCTTCTTCGAGTGCTTGCTCATATCGATTCCAATTAGGTGTGCACGCGCTGCGTGCATGATCATCAGAATTTTCTACCCTAGCAACACCCGGTGGGTCGGCTGTGGAGCCCCCTGGAGTGGCGCCTTCATGGCGCTGGATATATATACCCCAGCTGACCCAGTGCCCCCTCAGTTCCTTCTTACCGCCCGGGGTGGTCACTGGAACTGTGGAGCGCGGCATAGCTGTTCTCCACTCTCCCTAGCTTTACTCGTTAATTCTTGTAGATAGTTGTTGGTTATATACTTATAGATTAGTAGTTTTGTTGTTAATGGTTTTGTAGAGTAGTTATAAATAGTTAGCGGGGATTAAGGGGGCTTTTATCCCCCCTTTTTCCCCCGGCGCGCAGCTGGGCTCATGCCCAAGGCTCCTGGCTTTAAGCCGTGCATGCCTATGCCAACGGGAGACCCTCACGACTCTTGTCTGAAGTGTGTAGGGGAGTCTCACCAGACGGACAAGTGTAAGATCTGCAAGGCTTTCAGGCCCAGGAACAAAAAGGAGCGGGACTTTAGACTTAAGCAGCTCCTCATGGAGGCGGCACTTAGCCCAGATCTTCCTTCGGCGCGCCAAGTTCCAGCACCGAGCGTCTTGGTGTGCAGCGCCCCAGCGGCGCCCTCCGGTACTGCACCACAAGGAGACACGGATAAGGCCCCACGGCACCGTCCTCCATTGGCACCGCGTCCACCGCAAGCCCCTCGGCACCGTTCCCTGTCTCCGGGACATAAAAGACCCCGTAAGACCCAGGACACTGCCGTACGACAAGCACCGGCTCCCCCCGCACCGGTGGTGGAGTCGCATCCGGCTGCGGAGCGCCAGAGGGTTCAGGCATCATCGACACCGTTGACTCCGGCACCGGTTGTAGGGCCGTTGAGTCCGGTGCAGACTGGCTCACCGCCTTGTCCTGTGGTTGAGCCCTGTCTCCCCTCTACGCTGGAGACATTTGCGACAGCGAAGGACCTTATCGCCCTCACGGAGCCGGCGCCATCTCAGATCACGGCAACGCATCTCCTCCGCATGGTGCAATCCAGGGGCATGCCTGCCCTGATACGCCCTCCATCTCTGAGCGTGGACTCGCGGCACCGCTCCCGGTCTTGGAGCAGGTCCCGATGCCACTCGCAGTCCTGGAACCAGTCTTCCTCCCGGCACCGGTCCACTTCTCGGCACCGACCCGAGCATCAGTACCGGTCAGAGTCCAGACGCAGTTCCCGGCACCAGTATGAGCGGCGCTCCCGTTCGTGAGGCTGCTCCTGGCACCGAGTCTACAGACTGTCTTCGTCTTCGCGATCCAGATCGGGATCCCGGTACCGGCATGGCCATCGGCACTGTTCTCGATCCCAGTTCCATTCCCCGGCACCGCGCAGAGACCGCTCGCCTGTGGACCGGCACCGCTCGGCACCGTTCCAGGACGAGCCTCTGTAATTACGCTCTGTACCGCCCTGGCCCTCAAGATTGGCATCTCGTTCGTCGGAAGAGGCCTCCCGATCAGCATACCCTGCTCAGAATCAGGCTGCGGATGACTTGGGCTATTGGCAGGAGGGGCAGAGGACCCTAGACAGGACCCTGCACATTGGTCTTTCTGGACCCCATGGGCATATCACCAAGCTCAAGGGGCTCCACCAGTGGCCTCTCGCTCGGCACACTCTGAGCCAAGGGTACCTGAGGCCACCATCTCCTGTCCTCCCCCAGGGGGCATGGAGGCTCCTGTGCCAACACCCACGCATGTCCCAGACCTCGGTGCAGGGGATCCTGCACATCAGGGACCCTTGGAGCCGGACCCACCTCTGGATCCTTTACCCCCTGAGGCATCCTCCTCATCTTCCCCAGATGAGGCGGTGGCGGGCACAACAACCTCAGGCCCACCTCCAATAGACCTCCGTGCCCACCAAGACCTGTTACGTAGGGTGGCACAGAACATGGACCTACAGACAGAGGAGATAGTGGAGGTGGAGGACCCGGTGGTAAGCATCCTCTCAGCTGATGCCCCATTACGGGTGGCGTTGCCCATTATTTGCACGATCCAGGCTAACGCTAATGCCATATGGCAATCCCCAGCCTCCATCCCTCCCACTGCCAGAGGTGTAGAGAAAAAGTACTTTGTCCCCTCTAAAGACCATGAGTACCTCTACACACACCCTCCGCCGTGTTCACTAGTAGTCTCCTCAATGAACGCAAGAGAGCACCATGGTCAGCAGGCGGCAGCGCCCAAATTGAAGGACGCCAAACGCTTTGATTTGTTTGGACGTAAGGTTTACTCAGCGGGGGGTCTGCAGCTCAGAGCCGCAAACCAACAGGCGCTCTTGAGTCAGTACAATTACAACTCATGGAAATCCATGGGTAAATTTAAAGAGTTGGTCCCCCAGGACTCGAGAGAGGAGTTTGGGGCCCTAGTGGAGGAAGGTAAAAAGGTGGCTAGGACCTCCTTACAGGCCTCCCTGGACATAGCGGACTCTGCCGCCAGGACACTAGCGTCTGGGATAGCCAGGAGACGCAGGTATCAGGGTTACCGCCAGAACTGCAGCAAACCCTGCAAGATCTGCCATTCGAGGGCCAGGGGTTGTTCTCGGACAAGACGGACTCTTGGTTGCAGAGCCTCAAGGACTCCAGAACCATCATGCACTCCTTGGGGATGCATGTCCCAGGACCCCAGTGCAGGCCCTTTAGGCCCCAGCCACAGAGGTTCTACCCTCCTCCTCCTCATCTAAGACAGAAGGCGGGGGCGAGGTGGTAGATGGAGGTCGACCAGCCCCCAACCCGGTCAAAACCAAGATCCTCCTAGACTACCTTCAGGGCTTAAGCAAAATTTTTGAAGGTGCGCTCGAGGACGGCGTGCTAGTCACTACCCAGGATCCATTCCCTTTATTTCGAGATTGCCTCTCCCATTCCCACCGTGCTTGGTCCCTTATAACCTCAGACCGTTGGGTCCTTCGCACGGTGGAGAGGGGATACGCTCTCCAGTTTTCTTCGTTCCCCTCCTCCCTGTCCCTCTTCAGGGACCCTTCTCACGAGCATCTCCTTACACAGGAGGTTTTTGGGCTCCTTTTTATGGGGGCCATAGAGGAGGTTCCATCAGAGTTAAGGGGCAGGGGTTTTTACTCCCGCTACTTCCTGATCCCCAAAGCAAAAGGGGGTCTGCGACCCATTTTAGACTTACACGGACTCAACAAATTCATAGTAAAGTTGAAGTTCCGCATGGTCTCCTTGGGGACCATCATCCCTTCCCTGGATCCTGGAGACTGGTACACCGCCTTCGACGTGAAGAACGCATATTTTCATATAGCAATCTATCCCCCACATAAGCGCTTCCTTCTATTTGTATTAAACAACGTGCACTACCAATTTGCCGTCCTTCCCTTCGGCTTGTCCACGGCTCCGAGAGTGTTCACCAAATGTCTGGCTGTCGTGGCAGCATACCTTCATCGACAGAGGATACAGGTGTTCCCGTATCTAGACGACTGGCTGGTGCGCGGCCACACCAGGGAGCAAGTTCAAGCCCACGTCCAGATAACACTACAAACATTCCACGAGTTAGGCATCTTACTCAACAAAGAAAAGTCCACTCTGGAGCCAACCCAGAGAATAGAGTTTATCAGGGCAGTCTTAGACTCCAGACTCGCCCGAGCTCTTCTGACAGACACTCGGTTTCACACCATCACAAACATCATCCACGGACTCCAGATCTTCCCGATCACCATGATAAGGACGTGCCTCGGCCTGTTGGGACACATGGCCTCTTGCACTTACGTAACCAGGCATGCCAGACTTCGGCTTCGCCCACTTCAGGCCTGGGTATCATCGGTGTACTGTCCTTATCGGGACAACCTGAACATGTTGGTCGCGGTTCCGAACTCAGTCTTGACCTCTCTCACCTGGTGGCTGGACCACAAGGCGGTTTGCACAGGAGTGCTGTTAAACGCCCCATAACCGTCCCTGTACCTGGTCACGGACGCTTCATCTCTAGGTTGGGGCGCTCACCTCGGGGAGCACCATACACAGGGCCTGTGGACCGCATCCCAACTAGCTCTGCACATCAATGTTCGAGAGCTGATGGCGGTGCGCCTAGCCTGTCAGGCATTTCTCGGTCTCCTATATGGCCGTTGCGTGTCAGTCCTCACAGACAACACCACGGCCATGTTCTACATCAACAAGCAAGGAGGAGCTCTGTCATCTCTCCTATGCCAAGAGGCCATTTGCCTGTGGGAGTTCTGCATTGCCCACTCGATATATCTCATGGCATCGTTTCTCCCTGGAGTCCAGAACACTCTCTAGCGGACCGTCTCAGCAGATCCTTCCAGACGCACGAGTGGTCGATTCGCCCGGATATCATCCATTCCATCTTCTAGAGGTGGGGATTTCCCCAGGTCGACCTGTTCGCCTCACGCGCCAACAGGAAGTGCCATGTGTTCTGCTCCCTCCAAAGGCGATCTCCGGGCTCCCTGTCGGATGCTTTCCTGCTATCGTGGAAAGACCAGCTGTTCTATGCTTTCCCTCCATTTCCACTGGTCCACAGGGTACTGCTCAAGCTACGCAGAGACAAGGCACGTATGATTCTAGTCGCTCCAGCTTGGCCAAGACAGCACTGGTACACCACGCTTCTGGAGCTATTGGTACAGACTCCGATCACGCTTCCATTGTGCCCGGACTTGATCTCTCAGGACCACGGCCGACTCTGTCATCCCAACCTGCAATCGCTCCACCTTACGGCATAGATGCTCCATGGCTGAATCAGACAGAGCTACACATCCCGTGCAACAGATTCTGCTGGGAAGTAGGAAACCCTCTACACGGACCACTTACTTGGCCAAGTGGAAGCATTTCTCCTGTTGGTGCGAGCAGCGGGCCACGCCCCCCTTGCAGGCGTCAATTCCACTTATACTTGAATATCTCCTATCCCTAAAACAGCAGGGCTTGGCGATATCTTCGGTCAGGGTACACCGGCTGCTATATCGGCGTTCCACCCAGGAGAACACGCTTCCTCGGTCTTCTCTAATCCGATGGTCGTCAGATTTTTTCAAGGGCTCAGACCGTCTATACCCACAGCAATGTCAACTGGTTCCGGTGTGGGATCTTAACCTGGTTCTCTCCAAGCTCACGGGTCCCCCGTTCGAGCCATTGGCTACCTGCTCACTCCTTTACCTATCTTGGAAGACAGCCTTCCTTGTAGCCATCACTTCAGCAAGGCGTGTTTCTGAAATCAGGGCGCTCACGTTTGAGCCTCCATATGCAGTCTTCCATAAAGACAAGGTGCAGCTTCGCCCCCACCCTGCCTTTCTTCCCAAGGTGGTATCAGCTTTTCATGTGAACCAGGATATATGTCTCCCAGTCTTCCATCCTAAGCCACACACCACGTGTCAAGACCAGCGTATGCACTCCTTGGATGTACGCAGGGCCCTTGCTCTCTATATTGAGCATACAAAGCCGTTTAGGAAGACGACGCAACTCTTCGTTGCAGTGGCTGACTGGATGAAAGGCTTACCAGTCTCCTTGCAATGTCTCTCCTCTTGGTTCACGTCCTGCATTCGTGCTTGCTACGACCTGGCCTGTTCCCCGACGCCGCGCCTCACCGCCCACTCCACGAGGGCCCAAGCCTCCTCAACTGCCTTCCTGGCTCACGTCCCGATCCAGGACATTTGTAGAGCGGCGGTTTGGTCATCGGTCCACACCTTTGCGGCTCACTATGCGCTTGTACAGCAGTCCAGAGACGATGCTGCATTTGGATCAGCAGTTCTGCACTCAGTGATGTCTCACTCCGACCCCACCGCCTAGGTAAGGCTTGGTAGTCCCCTAATTGGAATCGATACGAGCAAGCACTCGAAGAAGAAAAAATGGTTACTCACCTTTGTAACTGTTGTTCTTTGAGATGTGTTGCTCATATCCATTCCAAACCCGCCCGCCTTCCCCACTGTCAGAGTAGCCGGCAAGAAGGAACTGAAGGGGTGCTGGGTCGGCTGGGGTATATATCCGGCGCCATGAAGGCACCACTCCAGGGGGCTCCACAGCCGATCCACCAGGTGTTGCTAGGGTAGAAAATTCTCCGACGATCGTGCACGCAGCGCGTGCACACCTAATTGGAATGGATATGAGCAACACATCTCGAAGAACAGTTACAAAGGTGAGTAACCGTTTTTTATTAGATGGGATGGCTTGTAGGGGCTGCACTATACAAAAAGTGCTATTTTCAGAAAATGTTGAGATTCATATATACCCTGAAGTTATTGATAGAATCAATAGAAGTGATCAGTTGCTGACATCTGCAGTACTACAGCCAAAAGTGAACACTTACAGTACTAAATCTCTGATAGCAATTTAAAAAAAAAATGATGGTAGGTGTTTATATGGGTTTATGTTGAATTTACCAAAACAGTAGCACTTATAATCTGAAGGTATTGGAATCGTCACAGTAGTAAATTGTTTTCAAATAACAATAGCTCTTTAAATTTGCCTAAGTATTCTTCAGTTATTAAGGGAAGATTAAGTGCTCTGGAAACAGTAAATCACCTCTTCACTTGGAGTATTTGCAGTTGTCAGCATAAAAATATTCTCAAGTGTGGTGGCTTACGTTACTGTACAGTTTGTGGCTAAAATTTTTATTATGATCTTTATCTGGATTTTACTATTTGGGGTAAAGATATTCCAAGGGAATGCTTTGTGATATTTTTCTGTGGATGTTGCTTTAAATAATAGATGGTTGTATCTTCAAGGAGGTTGGTTTTTTTGTTTTGCTTTTAAATGGAGGTACTCTCCATGCAAAATGGGTGATGTTCTATTATTGCATGGAGTACTTGATTTATATTTACTGTATGTTTGCTATTTTAAGCTTAAATTTGCATTTGGTACACTAAAAAAAAACATACTGTTTTGTTAGTAGCATTATCATTCCACTGGTTACATTTATTTAAAGTAAAATTTAAAACTATGGGAATCACTAGTGCCGAAGCAGGGGTTTAAACCAAGGCTCATATTAAGCTGACTCACAGCCATATTCATATCAGCTGCTATCTTATTTTCCAGAATCAAAGCTGTTTTTTAAGTGAATCTGTAGCACAGACCATCTCAAAAATGTGATCTCAGCTGGAACAATAGCTCCGAGAGGTGTCACTTTCCCCATTCATCTCAGCGAGGTGTCGTCATCACTGGGCTTCTGAGTTAATTTAAATTTTAGCATTGTAATTAGTCTTATAAAATAGGAGAGAAGATTCACAGATCTACACGATTTCTGAGAGTGAGGTCTCATTTTTGGTGCGATAAGTGGAGATACCACAACTTATTTATTTTTCCCTTATTAAGAAGGTGCCTGTCCCAAAGAGCGCTGCAGAGATTATGGACACACTGAAGCCCAGAGATGGGAACCAGGCTCAAGTAGCCGAGCAGAGTTCAGAGAGCTGCATAATCGTATTTTAAATGTCTGCATAATCTACAGTGAGCAGTGTCTCATTTTGGTGACTCGCATGGGCAGAGCTTGGGAGAGTACCACCACTTTTTCTATTGCAGTCCTGCTGTAACCAAAAGAAAATCAGAGAACAGTGTGTACTATACAGTTTTATACAAATTATTTTATCTCATTTCAGTTGAAATATAAAGTTTGGAAACTAGAATAGAACCTGCTCCAGCAGCGTGCGCAAGTTCTTGAATTAATTTATTCCTCATCAAAACCTGAAAGAACTTGTCAGTAGATACCTAAAACGTTAACACACAATTAAGATAACTATAGTCTATTCTGTAGCAAAAATCGGTGCCGCTTGTTTGTTGTGTAATTAATACATTTTTGTTTTTTTATATATTCAGCACTGGTGCCTAATGAAAAAAGTGGAAATCTTCCATGCATTCTTGATATTGACATGTTTCATTTATTGGTAAGTTTTTCAAAATGAATACACCTACACCTTTGATCGTATAGGTTACATCTACACTGCAAAAAAAACCCATGGGGCAGTGAGTCTCAAAACCTGGGTCAGCTGAGATAGTGTGAGCCCCATGAGTGTATGGGGCTAAAAATTGCAGCGTAGATATTCCTGCTCAGGCTGGAGCCCAGCTCTGAGATCCTCACTGGGTTTCAGAGCCCAGGCTCCAGCCCAAGCCGGGACAGCTACACTGCCACTTTCAGCCCTGTACTCTAAGCTCGAATCAGTTGCCTCAGGCTCTGAGACTGACACTGCAGGGCTTTTTGCAGTGTAGATGTATCCTTAGGCATCTTTTATATGTCAAAGCTGCAGCTATGTATTTTCTTCATAACCACAAGAGTTTTGAGGAAAAAATACAGCAAGTTAGGATACCTTCTCACAGATGTTTAGATTTTTTTATATTTATTGCTATATTACAGTTTATCCTCCGACTTGGGGAAAAAAGGCAGGGAATATTATGAACCCTGCATTATTTGATAGTTATCCCTATGTCACGTGAAGGAATGGTTTAACTGGTCTTAAAATTAGTCCCATCGAATGTACTGCAGCACTAAGGATGACGTCAAGAAAAAACTGACTGATTCTTGAGGCTGTGGCACGGAAGGGGGAAGACATTCATTCTCTTACACTCTCTATTTTTCTCTATTACAGGTAAGCTTGGTGCTCTCTTTTCCTGCCATATACTGTCAGGATTTTTCAGGGGTTAGTCTTGGCACTGGAGATCTTCACATCTTTCATCTTGTCACAATGGCACACATAGTACAAATTTTACTTACTTCATCAACAGGTAATACCTCCTTTTTTGTTTCACTATCATTTTTTTTTAAATGAACACTAATGCTGGGTCTACACTTGAAAGTATAGCTATGCTGCTATTTCGTACCAGCAAAGTACCCTTAGTGCTAATTAAAAGCATACTTTATTGGTCACACATCACCCCCCCACCCCCACCCCCCAGCCAGCATAACTGTGCTGGCAAAAGTTTATGGCATAGGCTGGGTTAAACTTTTGTTTCCTGAAGAAAATAATCTGTGCTTACTAAAGAAAGGAATTAATGCTTCCTGCTTTTAGTACTCATGTAACAAGAGGGACTGGGTATGGTATATTGTGCAAAAAAGATCTGTTCTGTGTGACATTGGCAGCCAGACCTGATCCCTGGGAGGAGACAAAACAATCTTTTGCTTGTTTTCTAATGGGGCATTTCACTTGTTTGTTCTTGGCCTTCTTGTCAAAATTTGGTTTACGTCATTATTTTAGATGTTTGATACCGATGATAATATAGCCGGGTCTTTAATGCTTCTTTTATAAGCACCTGTGGTATTCAGAGCTTCACCTCCTCTCTCAACTATTTCTAAAAAAAAAATTTGTCCATTAAAAATAATTAAGTGATTTCTAGGTTTAGAATTGTACCTGATTTATTTTTTCTTTGCTCTTCAGAAGAAAATGGCATGGACCAAGAAAACCCTAATGGTGAAGAAGAAGTAGCAGTGCTTACTTTGTATAAATTTCTTTGCCAGCATACAGGAAGGTAAAATGATAATCTCTAGTTTACACAACCATTGTTTCCCTCCTGCTCCCACCACCCATCTGTAACACCATATAAAGGCTGAATTTGATGTACTGATGCTGTTAAGAGAATCAGATTTTAAATTCAAAAGTTCTTGTTCCTTGTGTGCTACCAACTAATCCTGGTTCATGACTGACTGAAAAAAGTCACATGACAAATCAGAAAATTTCTGTAATTTATCTCCTTAGAGTTCAGTAATACTATACTGTAGAATAATTTTGATCAGCCATTTGGCATATGTAAATAAATCTTGATAGTTTGCAGCTGAGTTCCGAGAACTTATTTACTTTTTAGCCACTCAGCTTCTCCCAAATTTGATTCCTATTGTGTTATCTGTTGAAATTAGAGATTCATAAATATTTATCTTCCCATTAGTGTTAGCTTCAAAGTAAACACTCTCTTTACCTGACATTTGTTTCAGCCAAAGTCAAAAACTGCTCAATATGAAGTATGGCCTAACTTTTATTAAACATACTGTTATTTAGCCCAGCAGCTTTATATTAGCTCTGTTTTCTTAACTTAGTCATAACATTTTACTACACACACACACAGTAATTTTATTCCTTCTGTTTTAAGTGCCTTGAAAGAAATGTCCTCAGGCTGGCATCTGTGCAGGAGTATAAAAGCTGGAATTACGCCTTTCCTGAGATGCTCTGCTTTGTTTTTCCATTATTTAAATGGAGTCCCAGCACCATCAGAAATTCAAGGTAATGTCCATTTATTGCTAGATGTACAGGGACAGCTTTATAAATGGCATGGAAAACAATGATTTAAATGCTAACGAAAATAAACCACATTAAACTTTCCTTTCTGTAGTAGCTGAAATTAAAACATGCTGACTTACTAATGATTCAGGACTATATCTGCACAAAACTGCAAAGCAACAGAAAAGGTTTTTTAGTTTTTAAAAAGTCACTTTTTAATTAAAAATAGGCAAAATCCAAATAATTTTGCACGGTTGTATCTTTGTGTTTCAAAATAATATAGGACATGAAATTGATATTCTAGTGGTTAAAAAGAAGTAAAGGTTCATTGCTTGTTTGAAATTTCATCTTTATTACCTTCAGCATTCTTCTCGTACGAGACCTGCTCCTGCTCCCTTTGAGTTCAATGAGATTAGCAGCAGGCCCTTAATTTTGAATTAATTTTCAAATGTGAGAGTGTAAACATAGTGTAACATAACACTAAGTTGAATTTATGATAGCAACAACCGTAGCTCAGTTGCAGCTATGGTTCATATAGGGTTTAAATATAAGTCTGGAGGTGTTAGTCATAATCAAAAAGAAAAGGCACATATGAACTCACACTACTCTAGAATCCCCATATTTAAAATTGAATTATTTGATATTTTAATTCTGAACTAAAATTAAAGTCAGTGGTTTTTTTCATATAGGCTATTATCAAGACTAGTTCTTGCTGTGTAACATTTCCTTGAGTTATGGCTCCTCAACAAAATGTTGAAAAGAGTAAAGGATAGTTTTCATAGAATAATAGAATATTAGGGTTGGAAGAGACCTCAGGAGGTCATCTAGTCCAATCCCCTGCTCAAAGCAGGACCACCACTAACTAAATCATCCCAGCCAGGGCTTTGTCAAGCTGGGCCTTAAAAACCTCTAAGGATGGAGATTCCACCACTTCCCTAGGTAACCCATTCCAGTGCTTCACCACCCTCCTAGTGAAATAGTGTTTCCTAATATTCAACCTGGACCTCCCCCACTGCAACTTGAGACCATTGCTTCTTGTTCTGTCATCTGCCATCACTGAGAACAGCCTAGCTCCATCCTCTTTGGAACCTTCCTTCAGGTAGTTGAATGTTGCTATCAAATCCCCCCTCACTCTTCTCTTCTGCAGACTAAATAACCCCAGTTCCCTCAGTCTCTCCCCGTATGTCACGTGCCCCAGCCCCCTAATAATTTTTGTTGCCCTCCGCTGGACTCTCCAATTTGTCCACATCCCTTCTGTAGTGAGGGGATCAAAACTGGACACAGTACTCCCAGGTGTGGCCTCACCAATGCCAAATAGAGGGGAATAATCACTTCCCTCGATCTGCTGGCAATGCTCCTACTAATAGAGCCCAATATGCTGTTGGCCTTCTTGGCAACAAGGGCACACTGCTGACTCATATCCAGCTTCTCGTCGACTGTAATCCCTGGGTCCTTCACTGCAGAACTGCTGCTTAGCCAGTCGGTCCCCACCCTGTAGTGGTGCATAGGATTCTTCCTTCCAAAGTGCAGGACTCTGCACTTGTCCTTGTTAAACCTCATCAGATTTCTTTTGGCCCAATCCTCCAATTTGTCTAGGTCACTCTGGACCCTATCCCTACCCTCCAGCATATCTATCCCTACCCTCCAGTGTATTGGACTGTATGCAAGACTTTGAGTGAAAAACACTCCCTTCTTCCCTGAACTTCTGTTTTACATAAGTGGGCTTTCCAATTTTTTCAATCTGGACCACATCTTAACAGGGGGCTCATTTCATGAGCCATACCTGGCACTAACTGGCAACCTTATTTGCACTACCATTGCTTGTCCTATATTTGTTTTGTGAATAAATAGAGAACTTCAGTCTCCAGGACTTTCAATCTGGCACCTCTGACCAGCCTTAAATTCTCACTACATCTTAATGTGCAGTGTGTGTGCGGGGGGAGGGAAGTCACACTTTTGCATTATAATTAAGGCTACGAGTATGTCCAGGGAGGTCGCGGAAGTCACAGAATTTGTGACTTCCAGAGACCGCCGTGACAGGGGTGGGGGATCCCTCCCCAGCACCTTTGGTGGCAGGGGATCCCCCCCCCAGCTCCCAGCCGCTGGGCAGGGGTGGGGGGCTGCAGCTCGCTGCTGCTGCTGCATGCAGTGGGGCATGGTGCTGGACCCTCCTCCCTCCCTATTTTGTCAGGGATGTTTTTAGTAAAAGTCAGGGACAGGTCACATCTTCTGTGAATTTTTTCATTGCCCGTGACCTGTCCTTGACTTTTACTAAAAATATCGATGACAAAATTATAGGCTTAATTTTAATCCCCGGTTAGGGTTGTTTTATTTACTGTTGGTGAAATCTTGCTAATGCAACTATTTATTGTCTGTCTTTTTCTGCATTTACAGTAATTGGGGCAAGCCAATTTGAGCATTTATGTAGCTATCTTTCCCTGCCAAACAACCTCATTTGCCTTTTTCAAGAAAATAGCAAAATTATGAACACATTAGTAGAAAGGTATGAAACTTTTTTCTTTAATTCCTACATAAAGTATGCTACACCAGAAATTAGTGTAAATATTTTCCCAGTAATGCATATATTTGGAAGAGAAAGATGAATGTATTTTTAAAATTACCTGTAAAATACAGAAGTTTATGGAAGAAGTCTTTTGGGATGGAAAGTATAACCAATAGAACTATATTTTTTACTTGTTAGTAGTTGTTCCTCTATAGTACTGTCTAATGAAGGCTAAAAGGCATCTTTTTTCTGTTGAAGTTGGTGTAGTGACAATGAAGTAAAAAGGTACCTGGAAGGCAAAAGACAAGCCATAAGGTGAGTATGGAGGGATTTTAGGATGGAGGAGAAAAGTTATTTATTTCCTCTTCTTCCCCCGCCCCCCTCCCCCCCCGAAGAACTGAGATATATTTAATTAAATATAGGGAGAGTGAAATATTGTTTAAATTTTCAGAGATTTTTGTGAATCCAGAATGGATCATTATAATCCATCTCATTTAGCCTCCTGCATAACACTCAGGCCATAGAATTTCATTCAGAAGTTCCTGAATCAAGCCCATAACCACTGGTTGAGCTAGAGCATATCAGTTTGAAAGACATTTAATTAACCTCCAACTGATATGTAAAATTATTTTTAAATTGTCTGCTCTAAGAAACAAAACTTTTTTTTCTTTGAAATCAGGTAGACATTTGAAAGCAAAATTGTCTGGTCTGTTAAATGTATTTCTACTCATAAAACAATTAAATGAAGCTCAGGATGTTTTTAATGCCTAGCAGTTTTAAAGAAGATTGTTTATTTACTCAGAATGGAGGCTAAATATTGGTACCTCACTATTCAAGTAATTTAACACACAAACAAATGGTAAAACTCTATCATGAAAACTTATTTTTACACTTAAGTTCCGTACTAAATGGTATTAAATGAATTTTCTTCTTAAGCCTGTACATAAAAATGCTGGATTAATACCCAGCTATGACAAAAATCAGTACATTACACCGCTACCCCAATATAACGCTGTCCTTGGGAGCCAAAAAATCTTACCGTGTTATAGGTGAAACCGCATTATATCAAACTGGCTTTGATCCGCCAGAGCGCGCAGCCCCGCCCCCCCGGAGCACTGCTTTGCCGCGTTATATCCGAATTCGTGTTATATCAGGTCGCGTTATATAAGGGTAGAGGTGTATTTATTCAGTCAGTTGATTAAATGATAGACTACCAGTTTTAAAATGAAGATAATTTCAAGTTATAATATTCTAATTGAATAGTTGAAAGTTTTTTTTTTTTTTTTTTTTTTTTCCCCTATTTGATTGTTAGGAATTTTTTTACATCTGTTTCTGTTGTTCATCCTATACTATTAATGAACAGATAAGCAGGTTACAGATGGTTAATCCGGTGGTAGGTCTTTTATCTCTCAGCATGTCACAGTGCACTGCTTCTTGTACAACCTTGAACTTAGATTGCACAACCTTATAGATTGTCTTATTGTTTCTGAAGATATTAACATTATTAAAACTTACATTGTGTAGAATAATGGTTCTTAACCTATTTACCATTGTGGGCTGCATATGCAGCTCTCTCTGGGTTATGTGGGCTGCATCCACATATATATATATATATATACACACTACAGTAAAAGCTGTGTTATCCGACACTTTACCAACTGGAAAGCTGTAGTAACGTCCGGTTGGTGCGGGACCAACAGGTTCCCCACCTGGCTCTGTGTAGCTTCCCGGAAGCGGCGACATGTTCCTGCTGCCCCTAGACAGAGAAACAGCCAGGGGGCTCTGTGTGCTGCCCCTGCCCCGAGCACTGGCTCTGCAGCTCCCATTGGCCAAGAATCGCAGCCAGTGGGAACTGCCGAGGCCGGCATCTGTGGGTGGAGGCAGCGCGCAGAGCAGCCTGGCCGCGCCTCCGCCTAGGAGTAGCAGGGACATGTCACTGCTTGTGGGGAGCTGCCCAAGGTGAGCGCTGCCCAGATCTGGCACCCCAAACCCCTGCCCTGAGGCCCTTCCCACATCCAAACTCCCTCCCAGAGCCTGTGCCCCGCACCCCTCCCATGCCCCAACCCCTAACCCTGAGCCCACTCCTGCACCCAAACTCCCCTCCTCCATTGGTAAGTATAACACCTAGTTAACTGGAATTTTTGACTTAGCAGCACCCCCCAGTCCTCCCACATGCCGGATAGCAAAGCTTTTACTGTACGTGTATGGCCCTGAAGATGTTACATGGGCCACAACTCTGTGCTGATTAGGCTGCAAGCAGGCCGCAGGTTGAGAACCACTAGTGTAGAATCTGGAGGGAAAATAAAAAGGTCTTGACATTAATATTCATGATTTCCCAATTATATAAATATTCAGTGTTGGTAAGGAAGAAAAGAAACACAAATGTACTCCTTGTAGCAGAATTGGAGAATGGCTGCTTTCAAAACAATATTAGTTGTATCAGAGACTTGCGTATAAAATTCTGATCCCTTAGCAGGAGAAATGTTCATATAATCCTATCGTGTATCAGGATGAAACACTGTCTAAAGTATGCAAATGAAAGAATATATAATTCTAGGACTTTTCTTGAGCCATAAAGGAGAAATAACAAAAATATGACTCCATGCAAACCAAATCTAGTATGTTTCAATTGTGGGAGGTTGGATTCCTTTGTGGTATATCAGTTTGAGGCTTATCACATCAAGCTAAAAATGGGCTGCCGTTTAACTATTCACGTGCGCAGAGAGGAAGAAAATTAAGGCTTGTGAGTAGTGCTATGAAACAGCAAATGGAACAGTATCAAGTAAGGGCTTATCTATGCGGTGAGGTATTGCAATCAAGAAGGGTGTGATATCTAAAGCACACTAACTTGTGCATTAATTGGTCTATGCACACTAGAAGTTCATTAGTGTCCTTTAACATAGCACTGGGACTGAATGTGGTTCCAGCATGCCTCCACCAATACTTATCAGGTAATCATATACATTATTACATTGATTTTATATTAAATCATAGAACATTTAAAGAAATGTGTGTTCACAAGTAATTTTTATATCAAATTTCTTACCCCCATATGCCATTTTAATGTTTTGTCATAGATATGGAGACTGGTGTAAGATATAGAAGACAAAATTGAGTGTTGATCACTTACATAAGATTGTTACTGAGGTAACACTTGGGGAAATATGAGTTTGCAATGATTGTGTCCACTATTTGTTAAACATGTGATTGTTTCATTTTAGCTATGCAAGAGAATCTAACAAATTAATAGACCTTCCAGATGATTACAGCTGCCTCATTAATCAAGCATCTAATTTCTCGTAAGTTTTTTATGCAATTATGATGGTGAGCTTTAAAAGCCATTTGTTGCTTTTGATGAACGGGAAAATCTTCTAGCATGAGCGCCTTGAAAAGATTGTTTAGAAAATCATAAAGTAAATGGCACATGTTCACTGCCGTCTTTTCTGCTAAAGTGCCTTATCTTAGTTACTTATGTCAATGAAACATAAAGTAGAAGTGTTGGGGGAGGGGCGAATTTAGAATCTGTAACTTCATTTAACTGGAGAAGTTTCCAGAATAAATTTGAATCTATTGATTATCATTTAAAGTACTGAACTATAACTCCATAGTAAAGATTTAACTGTATTCACCTACCTGTATGGATTTTTTTTGTTTGCTTATGTAAAGGTGTCCAAAATCAGGTGGTGATAAAAGCAGAGCACCAACATTGTGCCTTGTATGTGGGACCATGCTATGTTCTCAGAGTTACTGTTGTCAAACAGAGTTAGAAGGGGAAGATGTTGGAGCCTGTACTGCACATACATATGCATGTGGTTCTGGAGTGGGTATATTTCTCAGGTAAGGACTTCATTGTATCTAAATTTTTATTAATAGGGTACATGTTGTACATGGGCATGAAGTGAATATTTCTATAAATGTGACTGTCATTGCACTGTATGTAAGGACAATGATGTTCGTAGAAAAGAAGTTAGTTAATAGTTGCACAAAAAATAGAGTATTTTTTTTATCTTCGTTGCACTTCAGAATTTTTAGGAGTTTTTATCTTTGATGGAATAAGATCTCTTGGAAGGTCCAAAGCTAATCAGAAAAAGGATGTGTGCCATGTATTGTGTAACATTTCAGTGGAAATAAATGAAATGATCATGGTAAACTTTCTATTTTTCAGAAGTCATGAAAATAACTTTGATGTAAAAGTTAGCTCTAAATTAACTTCACAGGAATAAAACTGTGGCATCAGGTTATAATAATTGCCCCAACTGTTGACACAACAAAACATGTGCATTGAAGGATTAGATCACACAATTTGTTTCAGGTTTTTCCTAAACATTTGTTAATGAGAAGCAAAACTGATGTATTTTCTTGCAGTGTTCTTAAGTAGCTTCCAAATAGATTAGTTCAGGAACGCTGATAATTATGCTGTAACAGATAAAATGTGGAACAACATTTTGTTTGAACTATTTTATTACATGGCGTAGGAGGGATATAAATATTTTCAGATGGTTTAAAACTTACATTTTAAATTCCACAGTATGTGCAGATTATACAGAATCATAGATACGTTAGAGTTGCAAGAAGCTAATGTTTGTGAAAATACCAAAAATGTGGTCACATCATAAAGTTAATGACCAAAATGTCTTGGCGCTCTCTCTGTGCAGAGTACGAGAATGTCAAGTGCTATTTTTAGCTGGAAAAACAAAGGGCTGCTTTTATGCTCCTCCCTATCTTGATGACTATGGAGAGACGGACCAGGGACTCAGGTACTTTTTCTAGCACAGATTTTAAAATGTTCATTGAAACACTTTTTTACCCTCAAAAGCAGTTGGTTCATATAATAAGCTTAGTTATATATTAAATAATTTATAACTAAGCTGCTAAGGTTGGGCAATAATGTAGTTGTGTGTGGCGGTAATGTCTAAAGCAAACCTTTTAAAAAAATATTTACTTTGTTAGAAACCTCTGATGAGAAATAATTTGCCTGGTATAAAGAGGTTTCCTGAAGGGGGTAAATTCTTGAATAATGTCTCAGCATCTCTGAGATTCCATAGACAATACTATTGACAAATATATATCCTACTTTTTATGCACAATTTGTTTATTAAATATAGCTAATTATGTATATATGTCTATATCAGATGAAAACCTCCTGTTCCAAGTTGACTTAAAGTAGATCTGCATGCTGGTTTCTGTGCTGAAGTCTTTAATCTTAGGGGGAGGGGGTAGCTTGGCGTTCAGTAGCATTTACCCTTACTGGCTTTATAGATAATGGAACCAGATCCTTGCAAATGGTCAGAATCATAAATTGTAAGCTGGTGGTGGCGGCATACAAAGATTGTTTAAAGCTCACCTTTATATTGCCCTAATCCTGGTGCTGCTTTGTACTTGCTGTTCTCCCAGCCCTGGGGCTGCTTGTAACTTATGCCACCATTTAACAGTCACAGGGAACTAAAACAGGCCAAGTTTTGTGTCATGAGGGTGGGTTCCCCCACCCCTTTCTGTATCAGTGTCACCTTTTGTCCACAATGCTGGCAGGAGATGAGGAAAATAGTGTATTTGCCTATGCATTGCCTGATACACTCCTGCCAAGGTCATTCTTACCTGGGTCAGATAAATGAAGCTTGTGCTATACCACTGGTAGTATTTGACTATATAGTGGCCTCATTGCACCTGACAATTTGATCCTCTATTTCCACTGGCTTCAGAGGGGAACATGCCTTCCCTAAGCAGTTTTCTCCAGGTTTGCCTTAATACATACATCACCTATAACCAGATAGCCCAAATGTAGTGGGGTTGAGAAGCATGCCATGATTCTCACCTTAATTTCTTCTGCTTTTATAGATTATTTTTTCTCCAATATGCCCCCTAGTGTGTGGAAGCATAGGGCCCAAAACTAAGTTAGTATCTCTCCTCATCTTGAAGAGATGACATGTATCTACACAAATGTAAAGGGCTGTCATTTTTAATTATGCTCATTACACAAGATGAAAATTTTGTGACTGTAGGGGGTCAGACAAAATACTACAGGATTAAGTTACTTTGGCATCGACTCTGTTGCAAAAATTGCATTGAAAGTATTATTATACATACAGTAATATTAAAAGATCATATAACTGTTTTGTGTATTATTTGTGAGTATGTAACTGCTCTATAACACTTCACAATTGTAAGTTTCCTAATAAATGTATTCTTTTTCAGGCGTGGGAATCCCTTACACTTGTGCAAAGAACGGTTTAAAAAGATTCAAAAACTCTGGCAACAGCACAGTATCACAGAAGAAATTGGACACGCACAAGAAGCAAATCAAACACTAGTTGGCATTGATTGGCAGCATTTATAATTGGTTATCATCTGAAGACTGGAACTTTATTTATGATGATTTTTGTAACCCAGTAAGTTTTTCAAACAAAAGAGGGATTAGGGAAAAAAAAATTTGAGGAAAATAAAGAGACGATTCCAGTCCTTCTAGTTAACCTTTGTTTTCCAATTTATTTTGTAAAGTTCCTGGTTACAATAACCATGTAAACTTTTTTTCTATGTAAGCAGGTTTTACTAGTAGTATTATTTGCACTGTGCTTCCTTCACATGAAACCTCTTGGGGTATAGAACCTGGGCAAATGAACTTAAGTTTGTGGGACAAAAGAATGACTCTTGGAAATCTGACTCTGATTTTTCTAATGAACTACAAGAGGGGAAAAAACTGCTGAAATGGAGACTAGATTAAGCACAATTATGGATTGTGTTTTGCCCTTTGCTAGTAATCTGAGCCGGTTTACTTTATTTATTATTCTACGTTTTAATACTTAAACTGTGTACATGCAATGGAATAAAGTAAGGATGAAAATAATGTAGCAAATGGATGTATTTGTCTGCATCAATGGATAACTCTTAAACTCGGTGTATCTAAAATTTATTTTTTAATTTGTATTCTTGCAGATTTTTTTGCCTTCCAGTTGATTTTCTTTTTACTAAAAGAACTAGCACTAGCTTACAAGTAAAACAGTTCAATTTAAAGCTATTTCTGGAGCATTGCACTCCTTACACCTATTGTGTGGTTTGCAATTTTAATATAGTGGGGAAACCTTTTCATTTTTCATGATGTGATTGTTTTCCCAAATTTAAAGGGTTGACATTGTGTTTTAGAAGATGTCTTAAGACAATGGCAATATATTAAAAAAAGTCACATTTTTCTTCATTTTTGACTTCCATCTTTGAAGGTGCAAATCCCACCTACATCTTATTGCGGTTTCCTAATTTCAGGTCTTCAAATAGAAACTCTCAGACAAAAATGAATCATTTTCTCTGTATATGAAGGACATCTGTCACAGAGCACTTGTTTGCTCCTGTTCATTTCCTTTCAGTTGTACCTTCAAGTACATTTACTTTCTGACATAGTAGACACTTGACTAAAGCTCTGTAAAGATGTTTGTCTATAGTATATTTTATAAATATATTCTATATCTGCACAGATTTTGCACTTGGTATGTGGGTGCCTGAAGGTATAGTTGTATGTAGTAAATGCAATGTTAGACCCTCAAGAAATCTCTGAATGACATACTTTCTGATAGAAAATCCATAGACTTAATGCCTTCCAAGTTTTTGGTAAGTTATTCAAACAATTTATTTACGTAGTCCTGAGTTTTAATAATCAAAGTGATTCTTTTACTGAGGCTTGCTTTTGATTTCCTCTTCAGTCCAGACAAGCAATCCTTTCTGTGGCTGCTGTCTTTATTTACAATAGGCTTGATTGGATTGTTTGTATTTTTACAGATTTAATGTTTCAGAATAATTCTGTATATGTTACAGTGTACAGGACAATTCTCCACAGGCTCGGAAATAGTCTTGTGTTAAGATGTAGACAATACAAAATAGGCAAACTGAACAATTATCAACTCCTATTTCTTAAAGCTGGTATTAGATACAACATTCTTGTCTCTAATGTCTCTTTGATCGTCATATATACACCTCACTCTTTTATAAGAGAGCTGCAAAATCTGCAGAAAGAAAATCAGCATTAAAGTTCCATCAGTCTACCCTTCCTCCTCTTAGTTATATATCAACTTCTTGCTGTGCATGTCATAAATTTTTTTTTTCTGCAACACTATTTCTTTTACTGAAAGGCTTGCTGCTTCTGCTTTATTCCACCTGTCTAGGGAACTTAGTTAAAATGGCATTGAAAAAAATCAGTTTTATCATGGGCATAGATATTCTAGAAATAACAAAATGGTATCTGCCACAATTCATTACACTGACAGATTTTCTGGGTAAATCAAAACATTGATAGAAGGCATTTTTCTCATTTTTCTGAGATGCAGAGGGTTGAATGGATTGATGGAATTATGGCTGCAAAAAATAGCAAAGTACACAATTTATCCTGTTTTCTGTAAATTTAGTCATTCTTACTTAAACTTTTTCTTTTCTGATTTGTTTTGCATGTATTTATGTTCATGGTAGAAATATTTATATAACATAATTTTGGTATCAGGGAAGAAATACCTGTAATAAATCGGCTACAACTTTAATATCTGTGGACTACTTGTAAAATTTGGAATGTATCATATGTTTAAAAAAAAAAAAAAGAAAAAAAGTTGCAAGTATCAAAATAAATGATTTAGGTGTTGACATTAAATACTTTTTAAAATCTTATTTATTTTTAGAAAAAGTTTTGCTGAACTTTGGAATTAACTTCAATTACCTTGTTGCTCCGTAGTGTTTATCACAAGATAAGAGAAATACCTGGATATGCAACACCTGCAGTTCTCTGACTAAAGATGATTATAATATTAGTGTCAATTACTTTAGCTAACTAACCCTGTCTTGACCTCTACCAAAACGTCTGATCATCATTTAGCAGACTGATACAGTTTTTAAAGAGCTGATGAGTAAACACAATTAAAAACTCACTCAGAAGTAAATCAAATGGGGCAAACAAAGCCTGCTATTTCTTTTCCCAGGAGGCAGGATGTTGCCTCTTCTGTTGCAAACCACTATGTACATATTTATTTATTTATTTAGAATTCAGGTCTATCCTTCCTTTGTGCTTCATTCATAGCTGTCCAGAGGTTTGAGTCTCTTCCTCTTGTTCATGTCAGCTAATTACCTGGTAGCAGTTGTGCGTAACATTTGTAATGAATGAATGTTAGACTTATTTAAGTTTACTACAACAACAACACCTACTTAGTGAGTGAGGCTCTCTGGAAGCCGCAAGCCTGTAGTAGAGCTTGCACAGAGTTTCCCTCCAAACCTGGTTCAGATTTTCCCCCAAGGGCCTTCAGATCAGACCCTATCTTACTCCGCCAAGATAGCACTTCTTTGCACTGTCCCTAGCCTACCATGGGAAGCTGCCTCTTACTTTGGTGCAACAACCATATAGTGTAAGTTGTCTGCTGATGCCATTGGTCCCCACAAATCTGCATTAACTACTTTCTCTGCTTTCTGTTGCTGGTTTCTGTTGGTGAAGAGTAACTCATGCTAGCTCCACTGCAATTCTCTTCTGTACCACCCCTTCCCCCCCCCCAACACACACACTTGCATGCTCTTGTGTGTCCCTCAGAGGGCTTCCCATACTACCTTCTATATTGGTTAGTCCATAGGGTGACCAGATGTCCCGATTTTATAGGGACAGTCCTGATTTTTGGGTCTTTTTCTTATATAGGCTCCTATTACCCCCTCCATCCCCTGTCCTGATTTTTCACACGTGCTGTCTGGTCACCCTATTAGTCCAGGATCCTTTTTACAAACCAGCATTGGCAGGGAGATGGACTTGGAGGATCTAATAGGTCTGTAAACACGATACCAATGGGCCTCCGTTTTTGGTTATTTTCTTTTTGATTTCCTGGGAATTTCAGTGTTCACACGTTTTAAAAAATTGTGACAATAGGTAAAAACCAAACACAGGGAGAGGTGGGGAGGTATATTCACGGGGGCTAAGGGTGTGAGATGCTGCAGTTGAGGAAGCCTCCTGCTCCCTGCATCAGTGGGCAGTCTTGGCTGCCAGACCCCTGCTTCCTGCCTTTCGGACTCCCCACTGCACAGAGGAAGTGAACAGGGCTGTGCGAAATGACTGGGATCAGGAGAGGAAAGGAAGGCTAAACCCTGCAAGTACCAGCTCCCCTACCAGAGGAGAGCCTCTTCCTGAGCCAGGCCCTTCAGCACAGCCCCATCTGCTTCCCCTGCACATGCCCTGTCCAGCAGGGGAAGCAGACGGCCCTCTGTGCTCTGGGGCTGCGCTGAATGGCTGGGATCAGGAGGTGGCTCTGTTAGGCCTTGGCTACACTTACCCGCAAGTTCGACGGCTGGAAATCGAACTTCTGGGTTCGACTTATCGCGTCTAGTCTGGACGCGATAAGTCGAACCCGGAAGTGCTCGCCGTCGACTGCGGTACTCCAGCTCGCCGTAGAGGAGTACCGCGGAGTCGACGGGGGAG